GACCTTTGGCCTTGGCAGCAGCAGCTGTCCGTCACGGCAAGGTGTTGCGGTAACTTGGGTGGTTCTTGGCAGCGACGCAGCTATTTCCACTCCTGCTGCTGCTGGTTTTTATTTCAGGCTGCAGCGCCTCAATCTGAGGATCAAACAGCTTAACAGAATCAGATTGAGGCGCCGGCAGCGGCAGCTAGCCAGCTAACGCTTCAGCATCAAATCCTGCTTTTCCAAGAAGGAGTCCCCGCAGATTACAGCTCCTCAGCCAGCTGAGGAAAATCCTCACTGAGCATGCTCAGTATAGGACACTTTTTTTAAAAATTAAATCCAAAGAGTCATGTAACATTTATTGTTTATCTGCTCAAATAAACTTATAAATGTAAAATTTTATTGAGACAAACAAAATAGATTTTTCTAGGAAGGAGTTCTGTAAATCATTTAAGATTAATAAAATCAGTCAGGGTTACAATTTACTGATTTAACTTATGTAAGAGTGACTGATGGAGGTAAAAGGGATGAAAAAAAACAGGACAATAATTTACAAATGTGTATTTTACAGAACACTTTTTAAACTGCTTTAAGATTTATTTGTAGTAAAATGTATCACCCTAAAAAATATTTAGCAAGGGGCCACACAAAATCATGCAGGGTCAGGCTGCACTTTGGGCACCCCTATTTTAAAGGTTAAAGATTTCACTTTGACAGATTTCTTCCTTAAATGGTTTTCTGATTATCTGAGTGAATAATTTTTGTTTCCATTCTTTGGACTTTTGTTTTTTTTTCACTCTTTGCCAATCCACTACATTTACCACTGTAGATTATCTTCTCTTCTTTCTTTATCTGATCATTAGGTTAACCGTTAACTTGATTTAAATTAGCATGGTTTAATAAGCTGAAATAGTTAAACTCTTATCTTAGCTAACCATACTTATCTTTAGTTTAGCATGCTGTAGGTTACCTTATCTTAGGTAAGCTAAACTAAAGCTTAACTAAGCTAATTCATATCATGTTAAACATAACCCAACCAAGTTAACTAAACTAACCTGAGACAGATTAAAATAAACTACCAAGAAAAGCTACTCTGACACAGCTCATCTAAGATAAATTAATCTTAAACTAGACCATTCTAAATTAAAGGTAAGCTAAGGTAAAGTATAACACTAAAAGAAATTAATCTCAACCAATATTACTTTAAGCTCATTTAAGCTCATCTAATTAAACTGATATTATCTTAGTTAGATTATTTTAGCTGGGTCAGTTTATCTGAGTATGCCAATCTAATGCTAAACTAGGCTCAAATGGCTTAGTTTACCATTTGACCAACACGCTTCAGCATCAAATCCTAACACCTAACATTATCCTAACTTAGTTTAGCTTAATTAAGCTAA